TTGAAAAACATGTAGAAGTTTATAATTAAGTTTATTAACTCAACACAAAAGGTAGATTTATTCCTATTAATACACAGGAGAATTTAACACTTTTATAGTTCCATCTGACAAGGCCAAAAGCAATCTTAACAGTAAGCTTGGATTTATTCTTTTGTAATACAAATTGAGATTTTTCACATCAATTTTGTAAGTCATTTTTACTAACTATTGAAAAGTAAGTGTCTTCCTACCCATTCACTTAACTTGCAATCTATGAAAATGTCAAGTTTTGGTAGCTGCTTCCCTAAGTACCCAATAATCCCAAAACAGATTACTTTCCTTCTTTTAAAGTTCAGGTTTGGTAGGACAGGTATTATGCAAATTAAGAGGTTTAAGTTATGGGTTTAAAAGTTGCCAACAACATAAACTAGGTGTATTAAGTATATTTCTGTAACTTGAGGAAACTGTGTCAGAAGTTTAGCAATTTAGTAGTCAGTACTAAACTTTCTGCACTTCAAATATCAATTTTCACCAACCATCAGTTATCAAATTAAAATATAAAAATGCTTACTGTTAACCATTAATTTTTCTTATTACTAGGAGTTTTATTTATGTGCCCTACCATAGTATAAGCTTTGACAATAAACACAACTCCTAATAACTCTCTTTGGAGAGTAAGAGTGAAGAAAGATTGGCTAAAACTTAACAAAAGAAAATTTATTAGCGAGGGTAGTCCTATGACACAAACATTCATTCCATCAAATTCAGACCTGTGTCTCTCCTCTCTCTCTCTCTCTCTCTCTCTCTCTCTCTCTCTCTCTCTCTCTCTCTCTCTCTCTCTGTGTCTGTCTGTCTGTTTGTCTCTGTCTCCATCTCTCTCTCTCTGTGTCTCTCCTCTCTCTGTCATTACATTCAAATTCAGATCTGTGTTATATTCTGTCTGTCTATCTTACAAATTAAGCTAGACTCCCATTTATGTTCCCTACATTCATTAGGTTTGGCTACTGTTCTTTCACTTCTGTAATTCATTGCAAGAAGAATTCTTAGTAACTTCATTTTCTAATCAGTAAAATCAAAGAGAACCACAAACTATTTCTAAAACCCCTTTCAAGATGATTAAAACTTGATTAAGCAGAATGATGAAATAATGAATTAAAATCTCCTAATCAGTTTAAGGTGTCAGAAATAAAACTTGTAAAACATCACAATAAAGCAAAATAAAACTAAGTGCTTTCTCAACCTCCCTTGCCCAAGTATATTAACAAAGAACTTCTTAAATGATAGTGTTGGGTTCAAGCTTTATATAGGGACTACTTGCCAGATGTTGAGCTAGACAAAATATACAAGAAATACTCCAATGCTTACTTGAAGTAAAAGACATGCTTTCTGATGGTTGCTAAATAAGTATGAAGTACAGACTCAGAATTCCTTATGTGAAATGTTTGAAATTAAAGTGCTCCCTATTGAGGCTGTTGGATTTTAGAATATCTGCACGTAAGAATGAGATTATATTGATGGGGACCCACAATTAAAATAATTTACCTTTTATATTTTATACTCAAGTCTGAAGTTGATGTTGTTCAATATTTTTAATATGATGTAGAATTACCAACTTCTGATGTCGTATCAGTTTTTAAAGACTCAAATACCAAAAAGCTTCTGCATGGCAAAGGAAACTCAGCAGAGCACAAAGACAACCTACAGAAGAGGAGAAAGTCTATACCAGCTATACTTCAAAAGAGAGGTTTAACATCCAGAACTTAGGAAGAATTGTACAAATTAAATACTAAGGAAATAAAACTGTCAAAAATCAACAAATGGGCTAATGAACTGAACAGATAGTTTCCAAACATAACAATAGCAAAATTAGTTATGAAGTATCAACAAAATAATTTTATGGATGGGGGTTACCACAACTGTATTAAAGGGAAGCAGCATTAGGAAGGTTGAGAACCACTGGTTTAAAATGTCTGTCAGTGCAGTCACATAATCTCAGACAAAAAGAAAAAACCATGTCTTATCTCATATGCAGCTACTAGCTGTCTGTGTGTTTTGTGCCTGTTCCTGCCCATGCACAAAGGTAAACCAAGGTTCAGTGAAGATGTAAAAGGGAGAAGGGTTAATATTAGGTGATAAGGAAGAAATGATGTGGGTAAATTGATACTTGAGTCTTGAAAGAGATTATATAGCTTTTTTTTCCATTTTAATTCTGTCACAGATTTTTTGTTTTGTGGTAGACACAGTGAGTGAAAAATTTGGCAGTGAAAATGTGAAGTCCAATGTGAAGCCTACAGTTTCAGAATACTGTAACTGTATAATACATTTCAGATCTGGCTAATTCCTCTGCACAATGTTCTATTTTATTCACAAGTTCTTTATAATAAAGTCTTTTTTTTTTTTTTTTGGTTTTACGAGACAGGGTTTCTCTGTATTGTTTCGGAGGCTGTCGGTCCAGCCTACCCTCGAACTCACAGAGATCCATCCGCCTGTCTCTGCCTCCCGAGTGCTGGGATTAAAGGCATGCATCACCACCGCTGGGTTTATAATAAAGTCTTAATCACAAAAATTTAACAAGGTTTGAGAGCACTTCATAGTTTGAGTTTTCAGGTTAAGGGTGTGTAACCAATTCCTTATTCTCTCCTCAGTAATTCTGTATTTGTTTCTGTACGTGTTCACAAGCTAAAAATTTAATTGCACATAGCTACCTTCTCAAAGTTGAAAACTGTTTTCCTAGAAAGGCTTCTAGAAGTTCTCTTCTCAAGAAAGATGATATAAAGTAATATATTTACTGTGTATTTACCGTATAGGCTCCTGATGAAGTGTTTTGTGTGCATACTTCCTATACTAGAAGCTGGAACAACCACTTTAAATACTAAAGAAAAAGAAGAAAACGTTCCTCTGACAGAAATTAATTTCCAATTGCTGAATTACGATTCCTCCTAAAAAGATGCTTGCTAATGAACTATACAAAGTTCTATGAGAACAGGGCCTTTCTATGTCCTAGGCCTCCCACAGTGCCCGGGCTTGAATGAAGACTGAGTGGTGGACTATTGGATGAATAAATAAACCAATTATAAAAAGAAAACTATTTGACAAGAATCAAGAAAATTAAGTTCTGAAATATTTATTCATTCATATATATATAACACTTAACTACATTTAATTGACGTCTCTACGAACATTCTAATGGAACACTAGTATTATTACCAGTGTGGCAAAACTAAATATGCAGCATGATAGAGAATGTGAGACTAGAACTAGACTCAGGAGCCGGAATTGTGAACTTGATAAAACTAAAATTCAGAAAATAAGTGTTTCACTTATGAATCTGAAAAGGATGAAGAGGACAGTGAGTATTCCATCGAATAGCCCAGGGACAAAAAGGAAATATGGTTACCAAGTAAACGGCACCTGGGATAGCAAGCGTATCAAACTCCTGTGAGACTAAACTTCGGTTTCTTTTAAAGCAAAGAAAAACAAATACATGAATCCACTGCATCCCACCAAGAACTACCTCACCTACCCACAGCACCTCACTAGCGTACTGGTTTGTTTTTTTAAAAAATCGTACTCTATATTCCTCGACTGCTAAATTCATCCACAACCATCAACTCTATAACCCAATCTCTATAACACTTTTCTGTGTAGTGGGGAAAATTAACTCACAGATTTCCCTTCCAAAATCTACGCGAAGGAAGTGTTTCCATGGCTTTGAAACATTAAAAAAAAAAAATGAGCCGGGCGGTGGTGGCGCACGCCTTTAATCCCAGCACTTGGGAGGCAGAGGCAGGCGGATCTCTGTAAGTTCAAGGCCGGGCTGGACCGACAGCCTCCAAAACAATACAGAGAAACCCTGTCTCGTAAAACCAAAAAAAAAAAAAAGAAAAGAAAACGGGTTTCGCACAGAAGAGAGAGATCTCGTCTAGTGGCCACGCCATGTGCGCACCCGTGAGCGATCGCTCTGGAGTTTTCCATGCCACCCCCAGCTACAAACTTAGGTGAGCCGGGACGCCCGGCGGAGGGATGACAGCTCGATGCGCCTGGACTCTTCCGGGCTCCGCCCCGCCACACACTCCAGTCCCCGCGCCCGCCCTCCCCCAGCTCACCTCAGCCCCGCCGCCTCACGCGTCTCCGGCCTCCGGGAGGGAGGTTAGCTTCCTCGTCTCACTCGAGCGGAGTGGAGGGCTGCGCTGCGCCCTCCTCCGCAGCCCACGCGGCCGGCGGGGGTCGCTCGCTACCACCGCGTAGCGCTGGAATGGGGCCCGGCCGGGACAGACCCGCAGACACACCGGTCGGCGCCGAGCGACGCGGAGAGGCGGGGCGGGGCGGGGCGGGAGCGAGCGACACGTCATCGGCCGCGACGCCAGCGTCGACGCGTCAGCATCTCGCCGCGCTCGGCCCCGCCCACCGAGGCGAGGTCCGGCCGCGGGCGTGGGAGGGGCAGACGCGGGAGAAGGAGGCGGGGCCGTTGGAGGAGGCGGAGCTACGGGAGGACGGGAAAGCGGGCTGTGGGAGGAGAAGGCGGGCCGTAGGAGGAGGAGGCGGGCCGCGGGAGGGCGGACAAGGAGGCGGGCAGTAGGAGGAGGAGGAGGCGGGCCGCGGGAGGGCGGACAAGGAGGCGGGCAGTAGGAGGAGGAGGAGGCGGGCCGCGGGAGGGCGGACAAGGAGGCGGGCAGTAGGAGGAGGAGGAGGCGGGCCGCGGGAGGAGGAGGCGGACCGCGGGAGGAGGAGGAGGAGGAGGAGGCGGCGGAGGAGGAGGAGGAGGAGGAGGCGGGGCCGTTGGAGGAGGCGGGGCCAAGGGAAAAGGAGGCGGCCCGTGGGAGGAGGAGGCGGGTAGCGGGAGGGGGCGGGCCGCGGGAGGAGGAGGCGGAGCCGGAGGAGGGGGCGGGCCTGCGGGTGGAGGAGGCGGGCCTGCGGGTGGAGGAGGCGGGCCTGCGGGTGGAGGAGGCGGGCCTGCGAGTGGAGGAGGCGGGGCTGCGGGAAGAGGAGGCGGGGATGCGGGAGGTCACCAGGTCCCCTGACTTTTTTCTGCTGGGCTTCTGGGGCGGGCTCAGGTACCCACCTACCCCCATCCCCACCCCAGCGTCCAGAGGCCTGGTCGTCCCCACCCCTAGCCCCGCTCAAGTCTGAAAACTGCAGAGAGGGAGGACACAATCGTGAGTCAGAGTCCTGTGGTCGCTGGAAGCTTCCGTTGTCCCTGCCCCCCCCCCTCAGCTCTAGGTGCAAGTTTCGTTTTCCTTAAGTTTCATGTCTTCTCAACTTTGTACTTCTGAAGTTATTTTATTTTTTTGGTTTTACGAGACTGTCGGTCCAGCCCGGCCTTGAAGTCACAGAGATCCCCTTGCCTCTGCCTCCCGAGTGCTGGGATTAAAGGCGTGTGCCACCACTGCCCGGCCTGAAGTTATTTCTGACCTTCAAAACAAAACACCTGGTGATACCCTAGTTGATCTGTCAAATTTAGAAAATCTAATGTTAAGTTTGGACTGATGAGCAAGGACGCAGACGTGGTATACTTTGTCACCCCTACCCTTCCAGTTCCCTTCTTCCCTGGGTGATGTGTCCTAATACTTACCAGAGCCCTTTTTTATAGAAGCAGCCAATATTGATTGAATAATAAGCTTCACTTGCCAGAAGCACTGGAAATTCTGTATTCTAGACTGACTGTGGTAAGACTTCAATCACGGTAGAATTACTCCAGTTATTAAAATAATGAAGATAACTCAGGGAAAAGGAATCACGAAGTATAAATGGAGTTTGGTAGGATTCAAAAAAAGGAAAAGTTACTGGAACTGTAAAGAATATGAAAGAACCATCATGTGATAAGGGTTTGTTTTATGTGACCTGAAGTTTTATGAAAACATATCAAATTCTAAGAGTCTGTTCTTACACAGTCCAAAGAGCTGTATGCACCAAAGTCCCAACTGCTACATTTCTATGCTTACATAATAGAAATTTGGGGAATATCAAGAGAATTAGTGACTGGATTTGCTAAAACTTTTCCCACTCTCAAGACTCGAGGAGTTTGGTTCTATGCAGCCTTTCAAAAGTCTGATGTTTAACTCATTTTGCCACCAGACTAGAATTGGGAAACCTCAAAGATTCTTGGTCTCACTCGAGAAAGAATTCTAGGGGAGACAAGAGACTTAATCAAAGGAGATTCATTATAATAAAAAAGCGTAAGCAGACTCCTGACTGGGGAGGGGGAATGAATCTGGAAAAGTATAGTTGGTGTGAGTTGGATAAAAATATTTTGCTAATCTTAGGCACATAATTGTGAATTTTCAGAACTTGAGAGAGCATTTCTAGGAAGCTAGCAAGGAAGAGTAATTTATCAAACATGGAATTATGGAACCAAGATGACGATTCAAGAGTGGTGTGTACATTAAAACTGCAACTATAAATGAGATACTAATGGTTTTCAGAGTCCCTGCAGCATGCAGGTAACATTCGTTTAAAATACAGCTGAAAGTAATAACAGGCTGGCACCAGCTAAATAAGGTCAACATCAGATTAAATATGTGTTTCATTTTTCCCTGTCTCCCCAACCTGCACAGTAAATGAGTCAAATGAGTTGTTGTTTTGTTTTGTTTTTTAAGGAGAAGAGGCCACATAATAATGAAGAGGTATTTCAGCTTATACCTGAAACTGCATCTGCCCTGTGCTATTTCAACTTATACCTGAAACTGCCATCAGTCAGATTTAGCTTTTCAAATAGAAATGTGACTTGTCCAAGAAATAAATAAAAATATATACCAATATATACCATGTTTTAAGAATTAAGAGGAAAATAGTTTAAACTGTCAACTGTTTTTTGTATTGAAATAATCTTTTACATGTTAGGTCAAATGAAATTATTCCTACTGTTTTCAATTTTTTTATCCCTTTTATTCTCAAGAAGGCCTTCCAAATGTTTACTGAAAAACAATACTGAATACAGCTCCTAATTTGGAGGAGGAAGAGTGTCTAGAAAGCTTTTCACAAGCAAAGCATAACTACACTCTGATAATTGGCAACCTATCTGTCTATATTGAGAGGTTACTTCAATATTTTTAATTTTATTTCTGTGTATTGATGTATTTGTGTGGACACATGTGATCTCTCTGTGTGTGTGTGTGTGTGTGTGTGAGAGAGAGAGAGAGAGAGAGAGAGAGAGAGAGAGAGAGAGAGAGAGAGAGAGAGAGAGAGAGAGAGAGAGAAATTTTTAATACATTTTTCCTCAGGTCCTTTAAGTCTTTTCTTATATGTTTGGTTGTGAGCCTAGCTTTTAACAGCTAAGCCATCTCTCCAGCCCAAGTCTTTTTTTATGAAAGAAGCCAATAAAACTATGGTAAATGTTTTATTACAGTAATATATATCAGTATGCCACTGATCTTCAACTTTAAAGTTTGTGCTTTTCAAACTTTAAAGTTTGTGCTTACATTCAGGATAAGCAAAAAAAAAAAGTCCAACTTTCAGCTTTCATACTTCATCATTACACAGCTTGTTACTTTTGCAATAACAGCCACATCTCTGTGAATCAAATGTGGATATACCTCAGGAAATATGAGAGGTAAAGGCCATCTACAAAGTTGGAAGTAGAGTCTCACCCTCATTTCTTTTTTTTTTCAAAATTCACGTCTTTATTAGACTGCATGCACTCTTCTGTGTACTTATATATTGTAAGCCATGGTCTCACCCTCATTTCTAAGACCAATTACAAGTTTGAGAAGGGAAGGAAACCTCTGGAGTGAAAATTTGCTGGAAAGACCCTGAGTTACTAAAGGGAAAGCTGGAAACCCGAGGCTGCAAGGAAAGTACAGGTAAGCAGAGCATTTCAAATGTGGAGTTTCAGTTGTCTTCAAGCTGTGAAGTCAACACGTACTGTTCTGACACCTATGTGGATAATATGCACAGCACAGTCAGAGAAACTTACCAGAACTAGGTGCGCAGAGGGACTTCATCATACATACATGATTGATTTGTAGTGAGTGAGTGATTAATCTCAGACTCCAGAACCAAAAAAACTGTGAAACCTGAAACTCCTATCCTTTGTTACACCATATTTTTTGTGAGCCTCTAACATAAGGTCACATGACTGTGACTAGAACTCAATGCAGGTCACATCAGACCATCCACTTTGAACTGAAGACCCTAAGCAAACATACAGATGGAAACATTGAGGAAAGCCAGGCCTTCTCTTTGGGTAAGACCCAATCCTTTATTGCATGCCCTCCAAATCTCTTGTTTCTTGAGAAATCCCTTCCAAACTGCAATTAGTGTCATCAAAAACCATTCTGAATTAAGTTAATGAGTTCATCCTGTTAAAATTCTGAATGCTTATGAAAAGCTGATTTATTTGATGAGATTGAGATTGCGAAGGAGTTTTGACATTCCCTTGCATTAGTCAGTTTTTCGTCACTGTGAACAGAGCCTGAGAAAAACAATTTTAAAGAAAAAAGAGGATTGTTTTGATTCACAGTTTCAGATGATGTAAAGTTTAGCTACCTCTGTCACTTTGAGCCTCAGCCAAGGCAAAATACCATGCTAGCCATGGTGTCTGATGGAGACAGCTGTTCACCTCATGGCTACCCGGAAGCCAAAAGAGACAGAGGGAGTAAAGGACCCAATATGAGATATACCCTTCCAGAGAATATACTCAGAGACCTACTTCTTCTACTTGGAACCCACCTCCTAATGATCCCTACAGCTAGGAGTTCATTAATGAAATTTAGAGTCTTTACAATCAGAAGTTAGATCACCTTTGGAGCCTGTGCACGCTGAGACCTGCTGCATTGAAAACCAAGATATGAGTCTTCAGTGTTAATTCTATTCCAAAACACAATACTCTTAATTTGCTAACCTAAATAGAAGTCAACTAAGGTTACTATATACAGCATTTTTCAAGCGAATAGGTATAGCTGCTTGTAATCCCAGTACTCAAGAGGCAGAAGCAGGAAGATCACTAATTCTAGGCCACCCTGGAGCCACATAATATTCAAAGGCAGACTGAGATTTGTAGCAAGGAAGACCTATCTTAACCCCAAGGAGTGGGAATGTAGCTCAATGGTAGAGTGCTTGCCTAGCATACTTGGGAACATTGATTCAATCTCCAGTACTGCAGAAAAGTATAATAATTAGAAAATAAAATTTGGAGTTTCAAAGCAAAGTTGGACTACATAGAAATACCTTGTTTCAAAACAACAACAATGGAGGGAGTTTCCACAATAGACTGTAAATCCACAACTGAAAAATTAATGAAATTATGTCAAGGTAAGTAATGACGATTCAATGATATTGTGTGTTAGGCTATAAATGTACCAAATTACCCAGCAAGTAGTGAATCTCTCTAGGAGTCATGGAATAAAGAGTGAATTTCTCAACGTTTGTAACTTTGAAATTTCTGTGTGTTACATAAACATGTTGAGGAGACATCCTACTAGCACTATTACTTTACAACAAATCAAAACCTGAACGATTTAATGACTGACTAGTTAGGCAGTGTCACTAACCTGATAGTCCAGCAACAGGTCTAAGGCAGAATGCTTGAGGCTAGGAGTTCAAGACCATCCTGGGCAACAAAGTAAGAGGACTATCTTGAAACAGAAACATGTAAAGTTTGTGAAACTATTACTCATTTCATGATCTGTTAAAATAATTTCTGATATCATTTACAGTAGGTTTAGTATTGTTCCAGACTGATAAGCGAGCAGCAGTTCTTTCTACTAAAAATAGAGTAGAGATGTAGAACTGAAAGTAATGGAATAGACTGGAGACTGAAATGCCGCTCCAGAAACTCAAGGAGAACCATGGAAGTACGGCAGTTACACCATGAGTCAGACCGGCAGCTATCAGAGAGTAATGGGTCATAGCCCAAGAGACTTTACCTACACTATACTTAGCACTACTGGTTAATGTGAAGATTAAATTCTCTCTTTACCCAATTGCTATATGTTGAGTAGCTATTGTAAGTCAGAAAAGTTTGGATTTTTACAAATGGTAACTACCTTGAGTACACATATCTGCTTGTCAGACATTGTTCTGAGTATTATCTCTCGTATGTTGATACTAACTCTGAATCCTTAAATATATGTGTTTAAATTGGAGTACCTTAGATGTCAGAAAACTAGTAATTGATCATGGTGGGATTTGAAAGGAAGAGTGATAGAACACAAATGGTCTGAAGGGAGAATAGGGGATAATGGAATAAGAAGAGTGAAATGGGGTGGGAGATGGGAGGAGCAGGGCATAGGAGTGAGTATGGGGAGAGAAAACTACTACTGTAGAAAATTCCTAAAGTGTGTGTGTGTGTGTGTGAAATTTCTCAATTAGTGATGAATGGGGGAGGGCCCAACCCGTTGTGAGTGGTGCCACCCACCAGCTAGTGGTCCTGAGTTCTATACAGGAGCAGATTGAGCAAGCCGTGAGAAGCAAACCAGTAAACAGTACTCCTTCATGACCTCTGCATCAGCTCTTGCTACAAGGTTTCTGCTCTAATTGAATTCCTGCCTGATGTCATTCACTGGTGAGCAGCAATATGGAAGGGTAAGCTGAATAAAACCTCTCCTCCCCAACTTGCTTTATGGTCATGGTGTTTTGTTGCAGGAATAGAAACACTAAGACAGTTGGTGTGATCCCATAGCTCCCTCTAAACATTAAAGCTTATTGCCATTGCTCTGGATTTTCCTCCAGAATTTAGTAAGAAGACCTCATTGCTGATGATACCATGTATTTGAGTTATAGGATATTGAGAAATTAGACTGGTATAGACCTGGCCACTTCATCCCTACTGACTAGTTTTTGCAGCAGGAAAAATAAGTGACCCTTTAACTGATAATGGGGTTCAAACTCCAAGCTGAATATCAGAAAAGCAAAGCAACTGGCCACTAGCTTCTTACTTCTACCTCAGGCTGAATGTCTCCTGTTTCCACGAGCTCTCACCAAACCTCAGACTGCAACCTCTCCTCAGTATGGCTAGAGAATGAATTCCTCTACTGACTCCTTGCTTCTGTCTTATATACTTGCCTGATTTTGTGATTAAAGGTATAAGATACAATTCTCTTTGAGACTGATTCAATCTTGTATAGATAAGGATGGCCTTGGACTCACAGTGATACATGCACTTCTTAATATTGAGTCCTAGGAGTAAAGATATGTACCACCACCTCCTAGCTTCTGGCTACTGGGATTAAATGTGTATCACCACTGCTGACTTTGCTTTTCTGAATCATCAAGCTTTAATAAATCATAAATAATACATCACTACAAGTTTTCATAGTATTAGAAGATACTATGTATTCTACTGGTGGAGGAGAAAATAGTCAATAGTCCTACCCAGCTGTGAACCTTACAAGCTACAATAACAAACAGCCTAGAAAGATATGTCCACTGATGTAAAAGTAGGGGAGTAACTAACCACTTTCTAATTGGATTTAAAGCCTACTTAATAGAGAACTCATGCCTAGTGCCATTAACTAGAATCTGTGACTGGTGAGGTTATAGACCCTAGATGAGACCCTAACACTAAATGGATGTAGTAATAAACTATCCCTAAGTTCTTATCTATATACACATAGATTAATCTTTCAACCCCCCCATCAGAGAAACAGCTTTTTACAGTAGATGTTGATTAAACACAAATAGACTGTGAAGTCATCAGTTCTAAATGGAACATCTATATCATAACCCCTGCTCTCAGACTCAGGGATCCTTACAGAAAAGGAGGTGGAAACACTAAGAGTCAGAGGTAGTGGACATATCCAGTGAAAGTGT